CCACAGGGGCGGGCGCGTCCGCAGGTCATTTGGCATGCAGGGCTCCACAGAACAATTGAACTGCTTAATGGCTGCTTCAAAATAGAAATGCGAAAACAAAGAAAGAAGAAAGACAATTAATTAATAAAAGATAAACACCAATATAAAGGATATCTCGCGGCGACGCGGGAAGAAAGCGTCAATGTTGAAAAATGAAACTTTCAATGGAGAATACAATATTCGCTTTCTTGGCGTGCTGAGAGCAGCCTTCATAAGCAGCTTCGGTCGGCGCGGCAGGCCGATGATAGCAGTGCGCTGTTATCAAGACGCGCAACACACTGCTGGCGCGTCATCTGTGTTCCGCAGCGCCCTCGTGCAGCGTGCGTTGCACGCCTGAAAGGAAAGACTGGTATCAACTTGCATTCACCACAGCCTACATCCCTACAACCCTAAAGTGCACCGCGGTTCTACAAACTTTGTGTCGTGCACAGTGCCGGGGCGCCAAACATTTTCCCCTCTTCAATGTGTGTGTAAACGGTTGTGATGTGCGTCCGGCTGCCTGAACGTGCTGTCCATATCCCCACCGCTAGCAGTGGCATCCACCCACCCACATAACACTTCCACATACGCACACACGCCGGTGCCGCCTTTCCTTCAGGCTGCGATGTGGACACTACCATTATCCGTCGTGCACGTTATGCACGGCAAGCCACTTTCGCCACCGTACGGCAGCAGCTGGCCTCGGTGATTGCGGTCACCCTACGATGAGCCGCAATGACCGCGGACAGCTGCTTCACCAGAAACACCCGATGCTTGATTGTTGTCCTTCTTATTCCCTCCTTCATTCATTCAATCCAAGTTCAAACGAAGTGTGCCCCTGCGACACACCATCAGCTTTGCCGCTGCATTCCGACTTCAAAGTGTGCAATTGGAACGATCCCCGAATGCGTTCTGGCTGGGAGCGGACAACAATTGGTCCATGTAGCACGGGCACTTTGGCGCACCTTGAACTGCCAGCCAGCAGACCGAAGGGCCGGTGTCGAACATGGATGCAACGGTAGTGCCACCTACATATCGGGCAGTCCCGACTCATATGGATGTGGCGCAGCAGCGGCAGCACACGTTGCCGCAATGACACTCCTGCTTTGTGTGTATGTCATTCTACGGATTGCCGCATCACGAGAAGGCTAACTGCTCAGTCAAAATAATGATTATGCTATGGCTAAAAAAGGCTAAAAACCCTAAAACGATCCAGACAGGTCTGCACCGCTGTAGCAAGTCTGCCGACCTTTAATGTTTGAGAATTTCAATAACAAGTGTGTACTCCAAGCGTGGCGGCGTTCTTGTGCTTGCACTCCTATGCTGTACGGACTGCCTTGCGAATCAAACGGGGGTCAAGTGGCTGCACCGGGGCCGAGCCCCTTTTCGGCTTTGAAAAGCCGCCCTCTAGTTTAATTTATTTCGGGCGATAAACGAAAACAGACTTTCACCAGAGGTCAATCCGACCTGAATATACAGCTCTATCAACTGGGCAATAACACGGCCGTTGTTACAAGTTTGGGTTGTTATTGCATACGCATATACACATAGATTGTGAGTCCTGAGCCTTCCCCTTAGTCGCGGTTTTCATTGTCGAATTGAATTGCATTGTCTTATCTGCATGCCACTCTAGTATGTATATTAGTCTCCAGCCCAGTGCATGGCCAGCTGGCCCGCTGGCTCTACCCTGGAACCCTCTGTAACAACCACACACACACATATATACATACATACAGCCGACCACATACAAACACACATACAGCAGACACAAACTCCAATGACAACATGCGTATAAGCACGCAAACCCTGTTATTCAGAAAGTGCCAATCGGCGGATGCAGATCTAGATCTCGTGATACGCCCAGAATTCAACAAGCCCACGCACGTGATGACATGGGCGTATTGGTTAGCTTGAAGGCCGTACGGCAGGAAGTTTCCGGCCCCACGTACGTAGAATAGTAATGTCGGGTTGATGATGCAAAACCCCAATCGATAATCAATGTGCTCTATCTCGCTAGAACTTCGGCGGAATGAATGATGGCAACTGTGCGACACTGATAATGGTGCACGCGCGCGGGTTCCTTTTCAGCAACAAATACCTACATGTACGAAAATCAGCAAGTACGACGCAAATTGAACGAAACGCAACGGAACAGAAGAGCTACCAACAACTGCGAAAAATTTGCACGCAACTCTAAAATCGCGTACCATCCTCTATTATTGTATGCAATGAAATCTATAGCCTGGTTTGATCTATCATCGCTCGTGTCGTGCATCCAACACCTGCTGCAGCTGCTGGCTCACATTACCAGGACTGCCATGAAGCTAAACTACCAGTAGTAGTGTGCGGGTGTGCAATAATGACACAAAATCCTATATGTACCCTTTTTTTGTACTGTACGTGCCGTACATGCAATACCTCGCGACATCTACATAAGCTCCATTCGCCGTCTCACGCGAGGTAACCAAAACCGGTTCATTTCACCCATCAACTCTCAAGTAACCAAATAGCTGAGCACCTATTTTGTCTTCACGCAACCTGATGGGAAATGCGCTTTATACTTGTTCGTCCTGTTTGAGTTACTGATCAGCCTGCTGCGTGCAGTACATCTTAGGATCCAAGATCCCCGGGGTTCTTGAGTGATCACATCTGACAAATAAAATAAAACCGCAAGAAGATGCGAATTCCCTGCGGCTCGCAGCCGGATGATGATTTCAGGAATGGCAAGTACGGCACCAGTGCGGAGATGGAGCGGCGACGGGATAGAGCACGGCGCACATACAGAACTACCTGAAGAAGAATGCATGGCTACTGACGAAAATATTGTCGTACCATGCTGTACATTCCGCAATTGATTCCACCCTAGCTTGACTATCCTTTATCCCCGTGCATGAGTATGTTTACGGCTGCAGGCGTGCTGCCACATAGGCACACGCATAAATGCACGGGCACATAAACATGCACGGGCATGCAAGCACACGCTCTCATGCATAGGCATGTACGCTCGCGCTCACAAATGCGGGTCCCGGGATTTCCTAACATCATTACGAAGGCATGTCTGGGGACTCTCCAGCAAGAGATGCACCACACAACAACTAATGCAATGTGACGAAAATTTTTTGATTAGATGCCGGCGGAAAACAATGCGTCACCGACGCATGCGTCGGTGTACCCACCAATCTGTCCATTCCATGCGGCAAATCGAAACTGAAATTTTACTCTAGTAGGCACTATAACGATAAAAGTTCCTACAGCTACACAAGCTATGGCTACCATAGAATTGTACTTCTCGGCTCTTCGAACAGCAGCCCCTCACCTTCACCCGCCGGAGCCCTTGGCCCTACCTTTCTAAAGCCTGGACACGTCGACGTATGTATGTACGTATGTATGTAAATATATAATAGGGTTGGCACTACTGGTAAGGCGCGACCATTGCCCCCGGGAGATCCCTGGATTGATACCCTTTAGGGTCAAAAGTCCTTCCTATGGTGGAAGGCATTGCGCCCCTAGTTGATCCTGGGATAAAGTTAACCTGCGAGCCGTCCAGGAATGGAGTTGGGCCGCTGTCGACCCGGCAGATTCCGTTGGATGCTGGTGGTGGGTGCGGGGAACCTGCGCGATCCACTGAGAAGTTGACTAGGGTGACTGGATGAGGGTGCCCCGAAATACCGGGGAAGGCAGGGTTTCGCAGGGTAGCGGCCACGGGTGAAAATACACCCCCCCTGATTCACACATCATATGTATGTGCAATATTCTGCAACTTGACCCGAAGGCGACACACACGCACATGTTGTCTCTCGTGTACTCTCTCGTGTACCATTTATACACCATCCTCAACCATTCCGGCACTAATTAGTTCCTTGCTGTCGATGACCGCGTTTTTCCGTTGACTTAACTCTTGCAGTTAGTTGTTTAGTTGGTAACTCACATCATTGGAGCAGCTGTGTTTTTACCATTGCTCGAATGAATGTTTGCACCATATCTATAAATCACATCGTAAGTAAAAAATTCTCAATACTGTTGCTGACCATGAAGCCGGCATTGCTCAATTAGGATCACCCAGGCAACAGCTTTACCATTAGTGAAACAATCTTGGTAACATATGAACTTGACCGGCACACACGATGGACCCGACCGCCGCTTCTTGCTGTGGCGCACGTGCTCGCATCATCAATGCTGCACTCATGCCGTCACCTGAACGGTCAGCGGGTTGTACGGCAAGCGTAAGACAATCCATCCATTAACGAAATATACAGGGACGACGCTATTTTTTTAAATGATTCCATTTTGGCATTTTCATCTACATGATCTCAATGTTTCCAAGTTTGGCTACAGCGCTCCAAGAGAGCCCAAACCAGGTAACACGTCTAGGAGCATGGGAGACGATACATGGTTGCAAACATGAAAACCAACCCGGCACTGTTACCTGGCCCTTCCCTTACGGAAGGAGCCATTTGTCGAGTTATTGTTGACTTTTGGGGCCGCCTTCAGGGTTTCGCAGCTCTGGGAATTCCACGGAAAGGTTATTGGGATTCGGTTGGCGCACATCACCCCTTCTTGCGAAAAGTATCAGGCAAATTGTTATGCTCACTGGAGCGGTCACCGATGGACGATTAGCTATCACCAATGTTTTGATTCTCTTTCTTGGAGGACATTTCAGGCTCAGGCCTATTTCAATGATAATGGGGGGGTCCTCAGCCTTCCTTTTCCTCGCGGTTTGACTGTCATAATGCCTTTAGTTGTGTCATCTGGGTGAATGTCTAATTTGTATATTAGTCTCTAGTGCAGTGATGCACGGCCAGCTGGCCCGATGGCTCTACTCTTTGTGAGTCTTCTGGAGCCCACTGTAACAACCACACACCACACACACATCTAGGAGGATCACACGGACGTTTCAAGTGCACCTCGGTATCTCCAACACAGGGAAACGCATGCCAAGTGAGGCTATACGAATGTACGAAACGTACCGCATACGATGGATCTTAGCACCGGCCGCAGTCCATGGGGCATGAGGAACACGTCTCCTTGTAGCCGCCCGTAGGCGAGTTGGATGTGCACTTGCCATCTCCACAAAAAATGGTCTTGCAATTGCCGCAATCCAAGCAGCCGGTTCCCCCGATGACGCATTTCTCACCCAGATGCGGCTCGCAGAGGAAGTTCCGGTTGCAATTGCGACACACCCCACAGTCCTGGCGGCACGTAACGCACGTTTCCCCTGCCGAAGGACTGCATATGCCGTCGCCACAGCACGTGCGAGTGCCATTCCGAAGGCGGATACCGCAATCCGCAGGGCAAGTAGCGCAGGTCTCACCCCCTGCGAACGAGCATGACGTGCGTGCGGGCAGGCGGGCGTCGGGAGCGAATACAACATCAATAATTACGTCGGCGAGCTGCGATCCGTTTTTTGACTAATATTGTTCTTCGCAAATGACTTTCCATCTGTTACTATTCATTAATGCTAGCAATGTGCGAGTTTCGGATTTGTGGGCCCGGAGGGGAAATATGATGATGACGCACAGATGTATATCCAATGCACGAAGCTGCTGGATATTGCGGCATATTGTTGGACGAGGTTGCTTGGACGAGCACGGAGTATCATGTTTGGTACGTGTACTGGATCCCCTCTGTGTCATTTCCCTCCGGAGGGGAAATGACAAAGAGCTGCACGTGGTCGCGCAATGAGAGCAACGACGTTCATTATTACCAATAAGTTCAATAATACATGCTAACATACATACAAGCCAAGATACATACTTGCCAACGCACTTACATGCCAACATACATACATGCCAACATACATACATACATGCCAACACAAATGCCAATATACATACATCGCAATATACATACTTGCCAATATACATAACACACACATACATGCCAATATACATACTTGCCAACATACATACATGCCAACATACATACATGCCAACATACATACGTACATACATACACACACACGTGCCACGTTCGTGCCCACGTGTTCACGCTCGCGTCGCATCCTGTATCTAACCCTAAAACACAATGTCTTATCTTTAGCTGCCACAAACTTGTCAAACTCACGTCATGTCACGTCATGTCATGTCATGCCATCATTACCAAGAACAACCACACAGGTGCTGCGCTACCCGCCGCCTACCCAATCTAAGAGACAGACGGACATACATTTAGACGCAGGGTTTGGCACTACTGGTAAGGCGCGACCATTGCCCCCGGGAGACCCCGGGATCGATACCCTTTAGGGTGAAAAGTCCTTCCGATGGTGGAAGGCATTGCGCCCCTAGTTGATGAACGATGGTAACCTGGGATAAAATTAACCTGCGAGCTGACCAGGAATGGAGTTGGGCCGCTGTCGACCTGACAAATTCCGTTGGATGCTGGTGGTGGGTGCGGAACCTGAGCGATCCACTGAGAAGTTGACTAGGGTGACTGGATGAGGGTGCCCCGAAATACCGGGGAAGGCAGGGCTTCGCAGGGTAGCTGCCACGGGCGAAGATACACCCCCCTGTTTCACACATCATATATACGCTCATGGCAGAAGGTTAACTCTGCAGGGCCATCCTCTGTTG